ATAATGATATATATTACCAGAAGGGAGGAATCTGCACATAGTGCTGGAGAACTGGACCAAAGCAAAACTGGAGCATAGCAGGAAATACATTAAATCTTGTAGTTCCATGTCCAATATTAAAGGACGTGTGCAACATATCTTTCTTTTTGCTCTGAGAGATTTTTCTTTAGAACGAACCACAGACAGGAGGTGTCAGATAGTGGTAGGTGGGTAGTGATGGAGCCTGGCGAAATATTTCTCTGTTTTCTCCAAGTTCCTTAGTGATAAAGGAAGCAAGAGTAAGGTTGTTGGAGAAGTTGTCAGAAGTTTAAGAAAAAAAATAGAGAAGTTGAAATTTAGGTGGTGAGGAGTGAGACATTTGTTTCATGATGAGATACACATTATGTAGGTAAATTAAATGAATGCTCATGTTTGTGTTCGTTTGTGCGAGGGCATGAATAGAGTGAGAGAAAACTGAAACCAGTTATTTAAGTATTATAAAAGATGTGGTTATATACAAGGGCTTCAGCCATGTTCTGGAAACCTGGTCATTGGAGAGCTTGTGATGCAGAGGTAGGTCCCAGAAAAGGTGTTAGGAAATTAGAATTTCCAAGTGGACATTTCCAAGCCAATGGTCACATAGATGATCCTGGTTAAACTACGTGGGTCACAAAAATGAAACCCAAAATCATGGAGATGGAAATGGATGTGATGAAGGGAAGGGGCTTATAAGGATGGCAAGTGGATAACAGAGGGTGTGGATAAGCATAGAATAATCAGAATTATTATATACTTGTGTGAAGCTGTTGCTCAACAAAATTAATCAATAAAAATTTAAAAAAAGAGATAATGCATTTGTCGTTGGTGATGAATGTACAATTAATGATTATGGGAACAACTTGGCTTTAAAGACTGGGAAGTTAAGATCATTGGAGGAACCATCTTGAAAGTAAAGATCAAGTAACTGAAATAGCCATGGGTTCTGCATGAGCAGTTAGTGTGTGATGAAGTTTTAAAAGAATCAGAAAAAAGGGACTGAGTTGCAGACAGAAGTGTAGTTGCCCCAGGCCAAGGGTAGTGTTCTTTGCTATGGTTTTGTTAAAATGTTTTATAAATGGATCCATACATTTAAAATGAATGCCTGGGGAACCTGTTCTATAGCTTTCATCTGTACTGTCTGATTTAATAGTTACAATTGACTGATGTTCCATTAACATATAGAAAAATCCAGGGTTTTCCATAACAAAACAGATAAGTTGCTTAAATCAGAATTTATCTGATATTGGAGCTCAATGTCTGGCTCATTCAAAAACATATGCATTTTAGTTATTATTATTATTGATTTAAAATAGTTAATATAAGATATGATCTAGCCTAGAAAGGATCAAAGGTAAGTAGATTTCAGGTACTGGTTTAGTATATACAATCCTTAAAAGTTAGTGGATTGCCATAAATTATTACTTCTTATTATTCCATGGATGAAAAATTCAGAATGAACTTCTATGGAAATTCTTTGTTACTCGATGACGTTAAATTACACTATCTCAGCAGATTCACTAGTCTGGATGTTATGAGACCATTTCATTTAATATCTAGGTCAATGAAAATAACATGAACTCATAATTCTTAAAAATAAAAAGAGAAATGCATAGCTCCATGATGATTCTTTCTTATAATTATTTTTAAAAGGATTTATTATTAGAACTTTTTATATATACATGCAAAACATTTTGAATATGTTTGTCCCCTTTGCCTCACAATTCCCCTCAGGCATTCCTTTGTCTCCCTCTCTCTTAGGGTTTCTATTGTTGTGAAGAGACACCAAGACACTTACAAAGAAAACTCTTTTTTATTTTTATTTATTTTTTTATTTTTCCATTCAAAAATTTCCACTTCCTCCCCTCCTTCCATTCCCCTCCTGCTCCCCCACA